TAAAACGGCGAATACATGTAGGTCAGCGTGGAAGTATTGGTCGGTTCGGTCGAAACTTTGGACAAATGCACTCGTTAACTAGGATAGAGTTAAGTATTCCGGCGTTAAACCGAGGCAGTCGTCGATTTAACTTGGCAAGAGTTATCGGCGTGAAGGACGTCACTTTGAGCGGAGGAGAGCGGAATTTGCATAGAATGCTCTCTCACGTTGATTCGGTAAGTCGAACCGTCGGCGTGGATTAATCCTCGAGTGGCCCTTCGACAAATTACATTCTCACCGTATCGCTCTCTCTCTCTCTCGAAACGCGGGGGAACAAGTTCGAATACACGTATTCGACCTTTCTCTTATACAAAGAGCGCGCGGACCTCCCGAGAGGTCCTGAAACGTTTTCCTGCGGCACATCTGCCGGGAAGAAATGCAAAGCGCGAAATCGGTGGAACCTTTGATCAGCAATCGGTCCTCCGTGTCGCGTGGAAAATCTCCAAGGGTCTAGCGTGTTGAACAGCGTAAAGTCGGTGTTTCGAGATTTCCCTGGGGATGGTGCAGCTTAAACACTCTCCACTTTAAAATCCATTTCCACCGTATCACCCATTGTCCATCACCGAATCCTCTTTCTCTCCCTCTTCTGGTTCCCCAGACGCGGGAACCTCGTCCTTTCAGCTGCCGTTCACCCTTTCCTTCATTTCCCCTGACGAGACCGTATCGAAGTACCTCTCTCTCCCCGCATCTTCACCTTTGTTCATCCGTGCATTCTCTCTGTGTCTTATCTCGGATGTAATCACCGTCGGAGTCGCCGTTAGGCTCGTCTATAGACGTCGGTAACTCTTGCACGGAGCGTTCTCATCCGTTACGAGGGTGGAAATGTTGAGGCTGGGAGATTTCTGGCTGCTCGTAATCGCGCGAACGGGTGAGGCCAATGATTCTCCGGCGGGCTATGCGGAAGTTGCTCCCTAAAGCGAGACGAGGGAAGGCGAGCACGTACGACGTCGGGGTAATTTCGGCGAAAACGATTCATCGAACAGTCGAGATTGTATTGCCGTGGAAGTCGTGAAACTTGTCCAACGTCCGCTTCGATTCTCCGCAGATTCTTCTTGGAATACTCGGAGAAAGCTCGTTTCATCGTTACAGCATATTCTTAAGCTTGGTCGAAACCTACCGACGATATATGTATAGGAGGTATCGGCCGAGGTTCCCGGCGATAAAAGCTACAGGGGTTGGGAAAAGCGGGATGAAAAAAGGGGCTGGTTTTAATGGATTTCTGCGAGGACTACTTCATCGGCTTTTTCACCGACGTAATTGGATCAGATTTAATTGACGTTGCATAATTAAGTCCCTAGTTGGTCTTGACGCCGAAAGGCGACGTTCGCAGAGGGATTTCGTATCCGTTTTCCACGCGAAATATGTATTACAATATTCGTAGGAACGTGGTGAAACGCTGTCGAATTACACTCGATGCCCGTTTCCCACGGAGAAATCGGCATTGAAGCGGAGAAAAGAGATTCCAGAGCTGCGAAGTGGAAGGGAGGGTGGGTATCTCGAGAAAGAGTAAACATCGCTGTTGCTGACCGTGTTCTCGAGGGCCATTCGGCGATCCTTTTCACCTGGCTGTTTCGATGTTGGTCAAACGTCATCGAGCGACCTCGGGTTCGTTCCCTTTTACCACGAAATTCTATCGCCAACGGGCGCTACAGTTTGGCGAGCGAACAAGCGAGCGAGAGAGAGCGGGAGGTTTCACGGTAATAATTAACGTGCTCATCATCGTGCCGCAAGGACACGTGAACGGATTTCGTGACGGATAGA